CCCCCAGCTCTTACTGGGGGTGGGGGGTGACAGAAGCTACCGTGTTGTCACTGGCCGAGCCGGGCCTTCCCGGTCCTTCCTCCGCCAGCTTCTGGCGCTTCCCCTGTATGGCGGCGGCACCAGCCAGGGCCGCCTTCCCACCCTTCAGCGCCCCTCAGCGGCACACCCCGAATCGCGGGGCTCCGGAAGTGGCCTGTGGGTTCTGCGGGCCTCCCATGGGGGGCAGTCAGGAAACTTAGCTGGAAGGAGCTAGACTCGGAGGGTCAAACCAGCAGCAGCTCCGAAAGAGCAGAGGGTGCTGGCCGGCCCGCCCTGCCCGGCCGGGGCCCAGGGAAGGCGCGAGGCTCTGCGGTGGGCTCAGCCCCTGGTCCTGTTGCCACTGACATCGCTGTAGCTCTGGGCCCGTTACCAGTGTCAAAGGCTCTTGGTCTGAAATGTTTCCTAAGGGGGAAAGGCCAGTTCCGTGGGCACCACGAGGCCCGAACAGAGGGAAGTGGGCCTGGCAGAGGCCCGAGCGCCAGTCCGTGCCCCACTGCCCCTTGCCCGGCGGCCACACTGGTCTTTTAAAATCTCTTTATTGCCCCCAGCCCCCCCCCAGCGCAGCGCGGGAAGGGCCCTGCGGCCCTGCAGCCAGAGCTCCACCCCGCCAGGGAGGGCGCGGCAGACCCCTCCCCACCCGCCCGCTGCTCCCCTCTGCGGTGGACTTCTGTAGAGTCGCCTGTTCTGCTCCCCACTCTCTGGTGAGTCCTCTCAACCCCCTGCCCCTCTGGCCTGCACCCCAGTTCTTGTGTGCATAAATAAATCTATCTTTAAAAAAATAAAATGTTTTTATTTTCTGTTATTGGCATTCACAAGGGCTCTGACATTTAGAAAGGCAGCTACGCATCAGCAGTGCCCTGGATTGTAGGTAAAACGACCATTTAAAAGTCAGACCATAAATGGGAGAGCTCGTGAGCTCCAGCAGGCAGCTTTCCCACGTCCACACATCAAAAAAGTGAGAACACACCGTTGCAGCACTCATTCTGAAATCTGGGCCTTCTGTGGTGGCACAACTGGTTAGCACGCAGCGCTGCAAGACAGCTGCAGCTGCAGCCACTTTAGTGTCAGTTCGATCCCTGGCCAGGGAGGGACCCGCATGGCGCAGCGGAACTCTCCTGTCTCCCTACGGCTCCCCTCAGCAGCGGATTTCAGTGGATCCGCCTGTTCTCACCCCGGCACCTCTGGCCTGCCCCCCAGTTCCGTATGCATAAATAAATCTTTTAAAAATTTTTGTATTTTCTGTGTATCCGTGATTTTATGTTGAAAAGAGTAAATGTCAAGAATAGGAAACTTTTTTCTACAGACTCATTTATTTATTCACACAGAACTGAGGTACAGGACAGAGGTGGTGAAAGGCTTCGCCAGAGACAGAGCGGGGAGCAGAACGGCAGATCGACGAAGTCACTGCTGAGGGGAGCAGCGGGCGGTCGGGAGACCCTGGGGGTCACCTCTGGGACGAGGATGGAGCCTGCACTGAAGCGGCTGTGGCGGCCTGCAGTGCTTGTACCTCAACCTGCTGCGCCACCAGGGAGGGCCAAGAACAGGAAGCTTTTAAGTATCAAAACATACATCTTAAATATGTGCACTGAGGTCACTTACTACATCAATTCAACTGCTACAAATACTCATGCATCGTCCCCAATCGCTCAGTGTGTCGCTCGTAGCCCCTTTCCGAGCGCCGCCGAGCGAGCGCCGGGCCCATGTCGTTCTCCGGCTCCAGGGCAGCGACCCCGTCTTGGCCATCTGCAGTCGGCGGCGTGGGAGAGCTCGCCCAGGGGAGTGGCCTGGAACAGCTGCAGGCGGCATGCTCTAGCTTGACCCCTACAAATGATGGGGACTGTGCGATTCTCTGGCAGAAATGTCTGCAGGGCAGGGTGGCCTTGCCCTCGAGCAGAGCACAGTATATAGAACAAGGGGAAGGGCCCTCCCTGGTGGTGAAACAGGCCGGGATGCAGCACGCAGGCTGGCCGCAGCTACCCCACGCAGCTACCTCAGCGCAGCTACCTCAGCGCGAATTTGACCCCTGGTCCCAGAGCTGACCCCCAGGGCGCAGCAGACCCATCCTGACCTGCCCGCTGCTCCCCTCAGCACTTACTTCGTCTACCTGCCTGTTCTGCTCCCCACTCTGCCTCTCACCCCCTACACCTCTGGCCTGTACCCCAGTTCTGCATGCATAAATAAATCTTAGAAGAGAAAAAAAACGGGAAAAATGTTGACATTCCTTTGGTACCCCATGCATCAAGGAGGTCACTGCACTGACACTCAGCACATTTATGTTGACTTGTTACCCTGGTTTTTACTGAGGCAAATAATCAAAATTCGTAGACTAGAAATAGGGCAGCATCACAATAGGCATTTTACTACAGACAGACACTTGGCAAACACCAATTATCGTAAATCCTTAAGGAAACGAAAGTAAGTCCATGGGCCGCTACCGCACACGCTGACAGAGGAAGACTAAACACGCCTCCTGGGCAGGCCGGAGAGGGCACCAGGCTCACAGAGGCTGCGGACTCAGACAGGAGCGTGAGCTCCGGACCTTAGCAGTGTTGAGAGAAGCCAACTACCCCTCCATGAGCGGCTCCGCTGGTATTTACAAGGAATGTAACTGCCCACAGAGAGCACACACGGACGCAGGCACACACAGGAGAGCAGCGACTGCGAAGGAAATGCCCAGAGCGCGCCCTTCCGCCGCTCAGAAGCACCCACCTCATTAGTGGTGCAGGGCAAGGGGGTGTGGCGGGGGATCAACATTCCCTGGCCTGATGGTTCAGCCCACCGCGAAGACATACAAATCACTGGTTCCCTGAAGACCCGGGCAGAAATCACAGCGGGGACGAGGCGCCCTCGCCCTGACGGCTGTGCTGGGCGTGGAAACGTTCCGCGTGGTGACGCCACACCCGGAAACACCTCCCTCAACGTCCACACTCTGGAGAAAACGAGTCTTGAGAATCAACTCCAACGGTGCGGACTACCTGCTGGGTGCCTGGGTGCCGCCTCCCCAAGCTCCCCTCGGCCTGGAGCGGCTCTCCCCAGGGCAGGAGTCCAGGCGGGCACAAAGGTGGTTTCCGGGAAGGACGGCGGGCTCCTCCATTGCTTGTGGGCAATGGCCCCGGCGAAGGCAGCTCTGACGTGGACAGTGCGGAGGCCTCAGGGCCACCAAGCCCCAGTCGCCAACAATCTCAGCTGCCCTGAGAACGATGGGGGGAGGGAGGGCTGGTGCCTGTCTGGGGTCCGGCAGAGGCGACACCAAGCGCAGGGTTCGTGCCACCCCTTGTGAGTTCCTGGACCGCGGCCGCTCTGGTGAGCAGAGGCAGAGCTGCTGCTGAAGCACTTGCCACACGTCCTGCACCCGTACGGCCGCTCTCCAGGGTGGACTCTGGGGGTCAGTGAGGATGGTCTTCTGCTGAAAGGCTTTGCCGCACCCGCCGCACTCGCACGGCCTCCCCCGTGTGGACCCGCTGGTGAATCTGGAAACAGCTTCTCCGGGAGGATCTGCCACACTGCTGCACCGGTGCGGCCTTCCCCGGTGCGCACGGAGGTGCAGGAGGAGGTCGGGTCTCTGGGCGAGACTTCCCGCACTCAGCACGCCCGAAAGGCTTCGCTCCAGTGTGGACTCTCCAGTGGCGAATGACGTGGGCTTGGCGGCTGAAGAATCGCCACATGTAGCACAGGAGAACGGCCTCCCAGCCTGGGGCTCAGCCTGCGGCCGGGTTTGCACACAGCGTCTCTGCTCTCACCCCTGCAGAGGCTTGGGCGGGGAGCGCGTCCGTGTCGCTGACCCCGCTCCGCTTCTCGCGACTGTCGGCGGGCTGTAAACAGCCCTCCACTCTCGAAACTGCCGCCTGGTTTCTTAGCTGGGAGCAGCCTGGCACTGGCGGAGGCCGGAGGTAGCTGCAGAGTCCTTTCCAGCCTCCTCACAGGCAAAGGGCTTCCCTGACTCCTGGAAGCTGCGGCTTGACAAATGCCAAGTGTCCAAACCCATTTGGAAGATCTTCTCCTCGCCGTCAGCCTTCTGACACGGGCGATGGTCTGCAGTGAACCAGAAGTCTCTGAATTCCCGGCAGGAGTATGGCTTCTTCCCAGGACACGTGGGCTGCAACTCGGTCTGGCGAAGGAGCCCCGTCCAGACCCGGGCACACAGCTTACGGGGTCCCGATCCCAGGAGGGACGACCCCGGCACAGGCGTCTTGGCCTGCGACCCTCTTGGGAGACACTGCTCGGAAGGGGCATCCTCGCCCCCGAGCCACGGCAGCGATCTGAAAGCAAAGAGGCGCCAGGTAGGCGTCGTTGCCTGTGCCGGGAGGGGTCGGGCGCGTCCAGCCGGAGGGCCGGGAGCTAGCAGCGACCTGCAGGAGACTGGCGTCTGAGGATGCGGACAGGGCAGGCGTTGCAGGAAGAGGCCACACGAGTAGGGAGAGCAGAGGCAGACAGTCCTCGGGGACAGCCCTCGGCCGGGCCACCCACGCGGCGCAGCACGGAGCCTCCAGACCTGGGAGGCAGCTGCCCCGCCGAGTATTCAAAGATCAGTGAAGACCTGGGCCCTCGCACAACAGGGAGCGTGGGTCACTCCGGGAGCTGCAGGCCACGTGCGCACAGGGGCTGGGGGTGCGTGTAGGTCAGAGGGTGGGACGAGCTCGAGGCAAAGGTGTCCGGGATGCGTCAGCTCCTGGGGGGGATGGAACGCTCACTGAAGCCGAGGTGGCTGGCCTCCTAGTGCTGTGCTTTAACCCGCTGCGCCACCAGGGAGGCAAGTCCTGCTATTTCTGGGGGGTGGTCTCACAGGATGGTGAGGCCATCTGCGACCCGCCTGGTCAGCGAAGGTCACTGAGCGGCCGGGACGCGCATCTGAGGCTGCATGGGGTACAACAGGTGCAATGTCCACACTCATTTCTGCTCTGTCGGCAGCCGCTTGGGACTACACAGGCAGGACTCAGAGGACCCGGCCGGACAGCGCCCCGGACCTCAGGCTGCTCCAGCTGTCTTCAGTCGGGAAGGCAAAGCCTGACTGCTGGAAGCCGGCCAGGGCGACTCCGCGCGTCCGGACAGGCAGGGAGCCGGGAGGGCCTGAGAACTGACTGGAGGCTGCACGTGCCTGGCGAGGTGGGGCCGCCAGGAGCTGGGCCAGGGCAGCCGCTGGTGGCAGGCAGGCGTCACCATGGAGTACAGCGCGTCCCAAGGGAAGTGCCAGAGCCCAGGTAGGGGCACTGCAGCAGCGGGGAGTGCCGTGCTGACCGCAGCCTGCTGACCCTCCGCCTCCAAGCCTGTGGGCGACTGCAGGCCCCAAGCTGTCACACCCGGGGCTCCAGAGTACGCGTGGTCCCAAGATGTCACCACCGCCTTGGGCAGCTTTTCCAGACACCCGCCCGTGGGTGCACCTGCCAGGTAAAGGGGAGGCAGGACCCCGCCTGGGAGGCCGATCATCCCCAGAACGGGGGCTCGGCGGCCTCAGCGAGGGTCCGTCCGGCCTTCACGATGAGCTGGAGTCTCCCCGCCTGCCGCTCCCTGGGAACCGGGTGCCCCCGCCCGGATGAGGGGGGCTGCGCACAGTGGGGCCGCGGGGACGCACCTGAGGGCCCCGGCGGCTGTGGAGACGCCTAGAACAGCGCCCTGGGCCGCGCCCCCTCCCCGGGTCAGGGCCCCTCGCGCCCCATTTCCCGTCGCCCAAAGGCGAATCCACACAGACGTGCGCCGGCCCCGGAGGCCGGTCGCGAGTCTCCCGAGGGCCCGGGCGGGCGGGCATCTGACCCCCGCTCCGGGTCTGCAGCGGGGCGCGGGGCGCCCGCGCTCCGGCCGAGGTCGAGGGTCCGCGAGGACCGGCCACTGCGCCGCGAACTACGTTACCCACAATGCCGCTGCCGAGCGCGGCGTCCACCAATGAGCGCGCGGCAGGCGGCGCTTCCGCTCCGGAGGGGCGGGACTTCCGGCTCGGCGGCCGTCCCGCCGACTGCTGGCGGCCCGCCTTGAGCCCCCGGGGGCGCAGACTGCGATCGGGGAGTCCCCGGGGAGCGTCGTCCCCCACACGCGGCCGCTGCTCTGAGGGCGACGGCGCGGACGCCCGGGGACCCGCCCCCGCGCGCAGTCCGATGGCAGCGGTCGCGCCGAGCGCCCTGCCTGAGGTACTAGGGCCCAGGGGCGCCCGCTCGGGGTTCCCGACGGGGCGGCGTGGGGACGGGAGTCGCCTGGCGGGGGGTCTCACCCCCGACCGCGCCCGGAGCGGGCCGGGGCGCGAGGCCCGGTGGGCGTGAGGGGGGCGGCTGAGGCGCGGACGGCGGTGGAGTTTCCCCACGCTGAGGGCCTGGGGCGGTGACCCCGCCGCCCCCCCTACAGTGACGCCCCTGTCCCCCCAGGCGCCGCTGGCCGCGCAGGTGCCCCCGGGCTGCACGCAGGTGAGTGGGGCTTGTCCAGCCTAGGCCGGGGCCCTGAGAAGCCCGACTCCCGGTGGAGATCCAGGCCGGGGTTGTCCAGGGAGGGCGCTTGGCGAAGCGCACATGGGTGTTCAGGCCCGGGCCGGCTTGCGCCCGGACCTGCGGGCCTCCTCTCCCCTCTCCTAAGACAGGAAAACTGAGGGCAGTGGACTGAGGCCTGGAGAAGAAGTCGGGTGTCACTTCTGGAGGTGATGGGAGCAGTGGGTGGGCGTCAGCTGTCAGAGCAGCCTGGAGGACCCCCTGGGGTGTGGGAAGAGTGGGGTCAGGGCCACTGCTGGCCGGCTGGGCCAGTCCAGATGGCCGCACACTGCTGTGGCTGCCCCGTCCACGCGGTGGCCACCGGGCCCTGTGGCTGTTTCCAATAATGTGAGGAGGGGGCTGAGCAGGGCATTAATAACTCTGCAGGGAGTGGGACTGGGCGCCGAGGGGCCTTGTCTCTGCGGAGAGACGCCCATTGTGGAATTAACTGTGCCTTCTGGCAGGGCTGTGTGACCTTTGAGGACGTGGCCATTGACTTCTCGCGGGAGGAGTGGGGGCTCCTGGATGAGGCTCAGAGACACCTGTACCACGAGGCAATGCTGGAACACCGCGCCCTTGTCACCTCACTGGGTAAGGCCGCAGACCACCCTGCTGCCTCTTCCCCAGAGGCGGCTCTCCTGTTCCCACACCAGACCGCAGGTCCTGCTGGCGTGTCTCTTGTGTAGGAAAGGGTTCCAGGACCCTGCAGTCAGCCACGCCATCTTACCTGGTTGCCCTCTCCCTGCAAGTCCTGATCTAGTCAGTAATTTTACTTCTTCAAAGATGTGTTCATTTATGCATACAAGAATTGGGGTGCAGGCCAGATGTGGGGGGTGAGAGGATTCACCAGTCACAGAGTGGGGATCCACTTGAACCTACTGCTCAGAGGGCAGCAGAGAGACAGAAGGGGTCTGCTGCGCCCTGGGGTCACTCACTGGCCACTGCCTGGGGATTGAGCTTGTGCTACAGAGGGTGGGGACAGCTTCAGAGTGCTGTGCTTTAACCCCTTGTATGCCAAAGGAGGCCCTGACCTATCATTTTCTTGTGTACTTTCCAGTTTTTAGTACCCATGTAATGCAGGCCTTGTGAAATGAATGTGGATATATTTATTTCTCTTCAGTTTGGAAAAGTTTGAGGATTGGCATTGACTATTTCATCGAATTCACCAGTAGAATCTTCAAGTCTTGGATTTTTCTCCGTTGAGAGGTTCAGAGTTCTTTTATTGGTCTGTTTAGATGTTCTGTTTCTTCATGAGTTTATTTTGGTAGATTATATGTTTCTGGGAACTTTTATTTGTCTTGGTTTTGTGATATCAGTTAGTCTCATTTCTAGGATTCCTTGATGCATGCAGCAAGGGGATTGACTTTCCACTATCACCTTTTCTCTTAGAATGGTCATAACAGTTCTATTTTCATTTGCCTCAAGATACTCTTTGATTTCTTTTTTTTTTTTAAGCTTTATTTATTCATACAGAACTGGGGTACAGGCCAGAGATGCAGAGGGTGAGAGGATTCACCAAGAACAGAGTGGGGAGCAGAACAGGCAGATCGACGAAGTACACTGCTGAGGGGAGCAGCGGGCAGGTCAGGAGAGGTCTGCCCTGCCATGTGGATCTTCTCCAGGGGCAGGCAGGGATCGAACTCATGCGGAAGTGGCTTAAGCTTCTTAGTGCAGTGCTTTAACCCGCTGCGCCACCAGGGAGGGCCTGTTTTCCCTTTTGATTTTTTCTTTTACTCATTGGTTTTCCCCATATTCATGAATTTTCATGTTCTCATTTGGTGAGATAAAATATATGATAGTTCCATTTTTCTTAAATGTGTCAAGAATTGGTTTTATAATCAGTTATACGTGTCCTGGAAAATATTCAATGCACTTGAGAAAAAAAATTATATTCTCAGCTGCTGTTCAAGATATGAATACACACTCTCACACATACCACACACACGCACACATACCACACATCTCTTCCTGCCCATCAAGGTCTTGTGACATCAAACGTACAGCAAGTTAACAGGACGTTATTAATACTCCCTTATAACGAGCTTCATCAGTATTTCTCTTTCAGTTTGTTGGCACGGATCAGAGGAGGAAGACACACCTTTCAAAAACTGTGTTTCTGTGGAAGCATTGTCACAGGTCAGGACAATAAAGGCAGGTTCTTCCACCTGGAAAACTCACCCCTGTGACTTGTGTGTCCCAATCCTGAAAGACATTTTGCACCTGGTTGATCTTCCTGGCCAGAAACTGGATGTAGTCAGGGCATATGCAAACCTGCACCAGCTCCAAGAGCATTACTGTACAGAGAAACACGCCAGGAGGAACGTGGATAAGCTGTCGTTTGTGAAGAGCTGCATATTCCATGTGTCGGGGAACCCCTTCATCAGCTCAAAAGCTAGGAAAGAGTTTCCAGCTGCACTAGGCCTTCTCCAGCACCAGCAGCTCATTCCCAACAGTGAGAAGACAGCCCAGACCTCTGACCATGGGGAGGCCATTCACAGGGGAAGAGGTCATTCCCAGTGGCGCAAATGTGGGAGAGCTTCCAGCCACAAGCACAGTCTTGTCTGCCACCTGAGAGTCTCCACTCGAAAAAAGGTCTTAGAAGCCAGCAGATACGGAAAAGCACTCCTCTGTAAATGCTCACTTGTTCAGCTCCAAAGAGCTCACGGTGGAGAAAGGCCCTATGAGTGCAGTGAGTGTGGGAAAGCTTTTAGGCAAAAAGCCACTCTCATTATACACCAGAGAGTTCACACTGGAGAGAGGCCTTATGTGTGTGGCGACTGTGGGAAGGCCTTCAGTCAGTGCTCTAACCTGATTGAACACTGCAGGATTCACAGTGGAGAAAGGCCTTATGAGTGTAAGGAATGTGGGAAAGCCTTTGGATGCAAATCCAATCTCGTGCGGCACCACAGAACTCACACTGGGGAAAAACCTTATGAGTGCAGTGAGTGTGGGAAGTTCTTTAGACAAAGCTTCACCCTTGTTCAACATCGGAGAACTCATACCACCGTGAGGCCTTATGTGTGTGTCCAGTGTGGGAAGTCCTTTAGTCAAAGAGCCACTCTCATTAGACACCAGAGAGTTCACATTAGTGAAAGGTTTTATGAGTGTGGGGACTGTGGGAAAGCCTTTGGATCCAAATCCAAACTTGATCGGCACAAAAGAAGTCACACTGGAGAGAGACCATATGAGTGTGCCGAATGCGGGAAATCTTTTAGACAGAGCTACAGCCTCATTGAACACCAGCGATTACACAGCAGAACACGGCCCTTTGAGTGTGGCCAGTGTGGGAAATCCTTTAGCAGAAGAGCCATCTTCACCAAACACCAAAGAATTCACACTGGAGAAAGGCCATATAAGTGCGGCGAGTGTGGGAAGGCCTTCAGTCGAAGCACCAGCCTCATTCAGCACTGCAGTATTCACAGCGGTGCCCGGCCTTTCAAGTGTGGCCAGTGTGGGAAATCCTTTAGGCAAAAGTCTGTTCTCATTCAACACCAGGTCGTCCACACTGGAGAAAAGCCTTATGAGTGCAGCAAATGTGGCAAATTCTTCAGCCAGCGTTCCAGCCTCAATCTCCACCAAAAATTTCACACCCTGGAGAGGTCCCATGAACGAAGGAGATAGGGGAAGTCCTTCACCCTAACACCTAACACTTGGCAAAGGCCGTGGAGGTGAAGGAATGGTGCTGCCTCTCCTGTTCACGGTCATTGCTTTAGACAGCTTTTGTGAGGGAGCCATCTCTGACGTAGAACTTCATCCTTCTACACGTCCCAAGAGGTGAGACTCCCCGAGTTCCCAGCAAGTGAGAGGCTTGCAGGAGCGGCACTGCGCATCTCAGCTCCCTGGGCCCTTGGCAGCGTTCTCTTGCTAGTCTCCGATGCGGGAACCTCACTTCTGCTGCCTTGCACAGCAGCCATTGCTAGGACAAGGCAGCTGTCGCCTTCCATTCCCTGGAGAAAGTTTTTGAGTTGTCTGATCCCTTACAATTTCTTTCCTGATTTTTGAAGTGGGAATCTGACCCATTTTGAGCCCAGAGTGGGCTCCGCCGGAGGCTCATAGGAAGGATTTACCTTCTTCATGGAAGTTGTTAGGTTTTACATGACATTTGTAGTTGGCTTTTCCTGCTTCTAAATCACCCAATAACTCTGCCTCCCACTGCTCCTGTTTGTACAGTAATAAAGGTGTTATTAATCTACCTTTTATCTTAAGGTGGTTTTCACTACTGTGTATGGGTGAAAAAGTCAGATTCTGTTTGTATGAGGGATGGGCAGCCTTTATAGGCACAAAGGTAACAGCAGAGTGGCCTCATTCCAACCTGCCCCTGACTGGCTTTGCTGCCCGAGACCGCCCATGAGCCAGTGCCATGTTCTATGTTCTAATTTGTGCCCTGGATGACTCCTCAGGCTGAGGCCACCAGGCACCTGGTAGTGGGTCATTTGGTTTGACAAGCCCCAGTGCCCTGGTGGGGGGTATGTGTGTGTGAATTTGTCCTCATGCTCCCAGAGCTTGCCCCATCACATCCTGCGCTGTTGAGAGGAAGCTTTTACCAAGCTCTACCAAGGAGCCAAATGGCCTGGCATATGTAATGGTTCTCTCAGACTGGCTGCACACCTAGGCTATGAGGTCAGGTCGCAGCCCTGATTGGAACTGCAGTCATGTGGGAGGAAGAGGGGAAGAGAGTGCCTCAGACAGATAAGCCTTTTCTGAATGTGGGTCTGGAATCAATGCTAATGACTAAGAAGTCCCAGGACTCCAGAGCAGTGCCTCTAGCTGAAGTCACTGTCGGCACGGTGGATCTTCATCCTCTGGGTTGCTCACCTCACATGTGCTGCTGTTGAGGCAGGAGAACAACAGAAGACAGCTGCGGGAATGTCTGGGATGGAGCCTTTGCAGCCCAGCCCGAGCTCCCATTCCCCAGCCGGAACTGGCCCGTTTCTCACCAGCATGCTCCGTGCTGACTGTCCTCCCCAGAAGTAGGGGCAGCTAGAGAGGACTCAGTATTGGGTTGTTAAACCTGGCTACAATGACTGAGATCCAGGGTGTTTTGCACTTTTTATTTTTTAAACTATAGAGAAGCACTGTTGACATGCCATAACCTGTACATGTTTTGTACGCAACTGAAAAGTGTTGTCAAACAGATAAAACTGTCATGTTCACAGTAAAGAACGCTGTTCCATGATTTAACTAGTGCCCTCTACAATCTCCTTGTCCTTGGGAATTGCTCGCTGGGCCTGAGACCGGGATGTGCCTGTGCCCCACCTTGCAAGGGCCCCAGGGCCAGGTGGGATCCTGATCCACCTCAGGAAACCTGCAAGAACCAGCTGTGTCCCCACCAGTTGCCCCCCTCCTACGCACCCCTTTTAACCCTGAAGGGCAGGACTCAGCTCCCTGACACCAGGGCCTTCCCAGGTCATCTGCGTCTGACACTGCAACCATCTTTACATAGAGAACTCATGACATCAGGGTCCCTGGGGCACAGGAGGGAAGTCTCAAGCTATGAAGCCATCTCCGGCCAGGGAGTAACCCCAGGGTGCAGCAGGCCCCTCCAGTCTCCCTTCTGCCCCCTCAGCAGTAGGTTTCAAGATCTGCCTGTTCTGTTCCACACTCTGTCTCTGAGGAGTCCTCCCACCCCTGCACCTCTGGTCTGTACCACTCTACTGTGAATGAGTGAATAAATCATAAAAACATATCTTGAAAATAAAGTAAATCTTTAAAAAATACACAAAATTACTGACACAACCAGGATGTGGAAGTCACGGCTTTTCTGCCATTGCAGTCCTGCAGGGAACCTCACGCTGGGTAACAGCTTATCTGAAACCAGACAGACATTGAAAAGGAAGGTAAAACCTGACTGGTGAAAAAAAAAGTACAGCATACTCCCAAGCAGTACTTCCCACTCTACACAGACAGGAATCCTGAAGTGTGGGGATGAACACACAGTGTGTGACAAGTTAGAGAATCATAAATTTGGACCAGGCTGAGTTTACTTACACATGCATACTAAGTTAGGGATTTAAGCCTGCCTTTTAGAGGGCCGGTCTGCTCTATGAACTCATGGGAAGTTCTCTGTAAGCAGTTGGCTGAGGAAAGTTCAGATTTAAGGTGTCTTCAAACATAAGTGTTTATTAGTACATATATTAGCTTATGACAAGGTAGTTTCCGTGCTAGGTGACATGAAATAAAAATGAATCCATACAATCATCACATTTTAAAAAGCCATAAAAATATCACTCCCTGGCGGGGGATTGAACTTGTGCTGGAGTGGCTGTGGACAGCATCATAGTGCTGTGCTTTAACCCACTGCACCACCAGGGAGGGCCCAAGTTATACAATTTCTTAGGAGACCCTAGATATACCGAATGAGCTAGAACTGGTCGAGTCTGTGCCTGGGAGTGTGAAAAGGTTTCTCCAACAAACTTACTCATAATTCCTTTAAGGTTTTGGAGAACAGTGGTGAGGACATTTGGGAGATTAGCTAGCATCTTCAGGACTTGCCACAGGGAGCTGAGATCATCTCTGGGACAGGCACCTGGCACTTCAGGAAGTTCTCACACAGCCTCACAAAGTTCCTCAGCACGTGGAGCCTGTACTAGTCACCACAACAGTGCCCTTTAGATGGACAGGGCTCTCTCTTAGATGGAGCCACTGAAAAGTCCATGCTTGAGTCTTACTGTCAACAAGGTGACAGGACATTCTGCGAAGGTCTTGTGGCAGAGGCTTCTGATGCTTGGTAAATACCTATTCCTGAAGGCTTTCCCATGTCTGCTGCCCTCGCAAACCCCCCTCCAGTGTGAATTTTCTGCCCTTAAGGAGATTCTTTTGGAGACAAAGACGTGTGGGAGACTGCACCCACCAGGCCTCCTGTGTGATCTTCCTGGTGGTACAATAAGCCGACAATATGTTTAAAGACTATTTTACATTCACTACACCTGCAAGGCTTTTCCTGACTGCAAACTCTCTTGTGCCTAACGGAGAGAAACTTTTCATTTAAGCACTTCCCACCTGTGCTGCGCTTACAAGGCTTTTTTCCACTATGAACTCTCTGGTGTTCAAAGTAGCCAGAGAATGTAAGGAAGGGTGTTTCATGGTCATTACTCATGGAAGGTCTTTCTCCACCATGAAGCTTCCTGTGTGCGCTAAGAGTGGACCTCTGTCTGAAGTATTTGCCACATTCCTTACACTCATATAGCATTTTTCCAGTGTGAATGCACTCGTGTTCGACAAGTCTCGCTTTGTGGGTGAAGGACTTCTTGCACTCACTGCACTTGTAAAGCCTTTCTCCACTGTGAAGCTTCTGGTGTTCCCGGAGGGTGGATCTCTGTCTAAAGAATTTTCCACACTCACTACATTCATGAGGCTTTTCTCCAGTGTGGATTCTTTGGTGTTCAAGAAGTATTCTTTTATAGATGAAGGATTTCCCACACTCAGAGCACTCATAAGGCCTTTTTCTGTCGTGAACTTTTCGGTGATGAGAGAGACTGGAATTGTGTCTAAAAGATTTCCCACACTCACTACATTCATGAGGCTTTTCTCTGGTGTGGATTGTTTGGTGCTCAACAAATATTCTTTTATAGATGAAGGATTTCCCACACTCACTGCACTTGTAAGGCCCCTTTCTACTGTGAACCTTTTGGTGATAAGAGAGACTGGAATTGTGTCTAAAAAATTTCCCACACTCGGTACACTCATAATTTTTTCCAGGGTGGTCTCTCTGATGCTTAATTAATTTAGCCTTTATGCCAAAGGCCTGCCCAGGTTTGCTGCACCTGTGATGCCTCTGCAGCCTGGGAGGGACCTCACTGTTCTCCCTGTAGTTCCGTGGATGCTCTCTGCTGTGAGCAGCCTGGTGTTGCATGGGGCCCAGGCTGACCTCCTCAACCTCCCCACAGGTGGAAATATTGTCCAGCACGTAGAACTTGCAACTCCTCACAGGCAAGGCCCCGCTCTCCATCCTGACACAGTGCTCGCCACCATGCTGCTGCTGGTGCAGGTCTGAACCCAGAGAAAGCAGTTTCCCATGTACCCGGCAAGTGTACGGTTCCAGTATGGCGCATGCTCCTTGGTGCTCAGACAGGTCCAGCAAAGGGGCTTCTGCCGCCGCTGTGACAAATACTCCAAGGGAAGGAGACTTCAGAAAGGATGGATCCGACCTCAGAGTACTGGGCAGTGACACGCCGTCTATGGAGTGTCTAGGAGAGGGCACTTCTGCTTCTCCACAACCACCACCTGAAAGCACAACAACACAAGCAGTACGTGCAGACTCTGGGATAGCCATCTCAGTGGGTGGTGTTTGCCCAGGAACAAGTTTTCAGGGCAAGGGAGGTTGGGTTGTGTGGTAGAAGGTTGGGTTGCGTGGTTAGGAGGGGCTGCTGAGCCTCCAATGCAAGGACACCAATGGCCACAGAGCAAGGGAGGCCTTAACCAGCAAGGAAGCAGGACACAGTGCTGTGCTGCAGGAAGCCTGGACCAGCTCATGCCTCTGCCTGGGGCTCGACCGGGACCTGCCTGCGGATGATAGGTGAGCAGGTGTGCGCTGTCCTGACCTGGGAGCAGACACTCTCAGGCATGCTGGGGTCAGGGCTTTCTGAGGAGATGGGCACATCCTAGGAGACACTGGGAGAGGTGAACATCTGAGAAGGTCACAGAGAGGCGGGGAAAGGGGGACAGCAAATGGGGGCCAGCCCAGACAGAAGTCACAACAAAGTGACTGTGGGAATTGTCACGGAGGGGCATGGGTGCTCTGGCTCAGGCCTTCCAGGAAACCATTGGTGAGCACAGGGAGGTTCCAAGCGCTATCTGCCCTCAGACTGGTGTGGACTCCTAAAGCTCCTACTCTCCAGCCCCAGGGGTCCGGGAACCCCTGGGGTCTTGCCTCCCTTATGTGGAGTTACAGCAAAGCTCTCAGAAACATTAAAGGCAGAAGCTGTGACACACCAGTGATTAGGGAGCAGAAAGCCAAGTGGCCTGTTCAGACAGGCCCCCAGTCCGAAAGCAAACGCTGGTGTGAAAACCTGCACCACAAGGCTGGGGTTATGCAAAACCCAGACCCCACGCACGCTGTGTCTACACTGGGACACCCGCGCAGGGAGGAGCAGTGCCCACAGCCCCCTTGGGATGGGACGGCAAGCCTGGCCCAGGAAGTGGTTGTGGGAGTCCTTACCCAGAGACAGGAGAAGGGACAGGTTCTCCAGCATCACATCCAGATACAGGCGCCTCTGCGCGTCACCAAGCAGCCCCCACTCCTCCTGGGAGAAGTACACGGCCACATCCTCAAAGGTCATGCGGCCCTGTGGTATGGGCAGACAAGATCAGAAGCAGCCTCTCCAACCCTGAACCCAGTCCGCCCGCCACGCTCCCCAGAGACACTAGGCCAGGTGCCCAACACCCTGCCACTGCCTCTCACCCCACTGATCCCTGTCTCAGGCCCACAGATGCTGCGGCAAGAGAGGTAAGTCTCTGTGTTCCCTGACACACGGGGTCCTTCCTCCACAACTCACATCCAGACTGCTCAGTGACACAAGCTATGCAACCTCTATCAACTGACATATTCCGGATAGAGACAGAAGAGCTCTGAAAATTCAGACTCTCCACGCCAACTTAATGTTCTGACCTCCCTTTTTTGTATAATCGTAATTATCAAAATATTCTGAGCAACTTTCAGCTTACAATTGGATTGCCTCAGCCGCATAAGGCGCTGCCTGGCTCCGACAAGCAAGCACTGCACAAGGGTGAGACATTCCTCTGAAGTCAAAAGTGATTTGACAACTGGCTGATCGATAAAAGCAAAAGGGCTGTTTCCGCAAAGTCTCTCTCACTGCCTGATGGAGGGAACCCCAAATCTCATCACTCTACTATCTCACCTAGCCTTCTATTCAGCTTCTACAGAATTACTCAAACTTCCTACTGTCTGGCCTTTAGATGTGGAAATTCATCCAGGTTGCCTGTTTTAGAGCTAGTCAAGCTTTTTACCTTCTACACCGCAAAGAAACCCACACCAGTCTTCTGGCTAGTCTTTCAGGATTCTACTATCTGGTCTTTAGATAAGGAAATTCACCTATGTCTCCTATTCAGAGCTAATTACGCTTTCTATTGTCTAGACCTCAAGGAAACTCACTTAAAAACTTTCTAACAAGTTTCTTCAAAGAACTTTTCCATAATTTGATTTATAAGAAATTTCCTCTTCCTGACTCCCAAGATGTCTCAAGTAGAAAAAAAAAACTATTTAGTAGTAGATAAGGTTTAAGGGACTTTATTTTAGTTAATCTTCACAGTCTTAAACTTTGTGCACCTATGTACCTGTTTTAACCTTGATTGATTTTAGAATGTTATAATCTCAACTACAGGTCAAAATGACCCCAGACTATTCTTAGAAAAAAGGTGATTGTGATCTCAGCCCCTTTCATATGCTTATGTCATTCCTCTGCCTGCTTGAAATGGATAAAATAAACCTCTGCTGAAGGCAGAGCAGGAAGATTTGCACCCAATTCCGACTCCAGTTTCTTCCTCATTCCCACTCCCCTTTACTCCTCAATGTTTGGAATTATCTCCTTGCCTGCCTAAGTTGTTCCCACCTTGAGATCCTGCCTGTGTCAGCCTCTCAACAGCCTGAAATGGGGGCAGGTCCCCGACAGCTCAGCCCCCACCTGAACCACCACGGACCCCAGGCAGCTCCTTCCCTGTCCCTTGAACCTGCTGTCCCTGAGACCAGACACCCTCCGCTCCGGGGGGCTTGGTCGGGCTTCTCCGACAGGCATGCATACCCGCTCGGCCACCTTTCCTCGGCAGCCAGAGCCCACCATCCAGACCTTTGGTGGCTCTTAGCAAGAGGTGGCCCTGGCACTGCTCCGCAGGGCCCCCACACAGCCCTGCTCCTCTCACGTGGCAGCGGGAACAGCACACACTGGCCCATCCCGTCCCCTCTCCCCCACCCGCATTCAAAAAGCCTCACCTGCTCCACCACAAACCAACTGACTGCAGCTGGGTTCACTGGCACCCCAGGGAATCGGCCATCTTGCCTGACACTCCTTAGGCTCCCCCAGGAGTTTCAGCAAGATCTGAGCTTGCAGAGAGGAGAGAAAGCACCGCCTGACGCCTGTGGTACCCAGCCCACAGCTGCAGCCAACAGCAGTCCTGTCTACTCCCTACAGCACTGGCCAGACACCCCTCACCCCCGGCGGCCACAGCCCTACGCTCCTTTTCTCCCCCTGTTAGCCCAGATACCGTCGCCACCCTTCTCCCCACAAAGACCCTCCACTCTCCCCCATGGAGGAGCACCGTGACCACCACGAGGAGCCCCGTCTGAAACGCTACCACATGTCCCCTGCACCCCTCCGTGGTTCCTGCCAGCTCCCAGCCGCGCGCCCTCCGCCCTGCGTGCCTGACCTCCAGCCCACACCGGGGTAGGCCCAGCTGCTCCCACCGCTGCCTCGCACCTCAGACTTGAGAACCCGGGATGGCGCCCCCTTCGCAGCGGCGCGGAGTCCC